ATTGTGAGATTTTCTTCCCATACAACAATCATGATTTACTCTACACCACACCTCCTTCTAATTTCAATGCATACATACATATATACTTGCACACATACATATGCACATATACAACCACTGAAAGCCACACATATTCATGCATATACATACTATATACCTCTCACCTTAATACTGCAAAGACCGTGACTCCGGAAGGACTAATTGCATTCATTTTCTCACCCCAGCATGAAGCTGGTAGATTGCTGGGATCACAGCAAGAGGGGAGGGAGAGGATGGCTCATCTTTATCTGTCCCTCCCCGTAAGGAAACAGGGCTGGCAGAACGAATGCAGTGAGGTGTCCTCACTATGTGCATTTGCAAAAGATTTAATAAGGAGTATTTCGTGAAAATCATTTACCACTGAATAAGGTGCCTTTCACACAAAGGTGGAAGCCAATGAAACTACCATTCTTTGTGTCATTTCTTCCACAGAATGTTTCAAACTACCTCAAAAATGCACTTTTAAAATAAACACCAATATTCTTTTGGAGACATAAGGTGTTGGCAAAACTACTAAGAGCAAAGAAAGTAGGTGTTAAAGAATCAAAGACTCTGCTACTGATCTTTTAATTACAAGAAATCAGTCAGAGATTCTTTCAGCTCTTGGAGCAAGCTGCTGGATAAAATGCTCTCAAAACATAAGCCATACTGTTTGTACAGCCCACTTACTTACGGGGTATTATGCCTCTCTTGATATAAAATGACATGGAATACCAAAACCAAAGCAATTGTTTTGATTTTGTCCCTTTTCATCCCCAACTTCTTAGTTGTTCTTACCAAACACAATTGCCTCCTTCCTATTCCAACTGCACAGTTTCCCTAATCTCTGTATTTAAGCAGAACTATTTCAAGGTGGAAAAGAAAGAAGGAAAAAAAAAAAAGTCGAATGACCTCAGCATATAACATCAATATGCTATGGTGAAATCTTCAAATGCATATCAGCATATGGAGGATGCTTGTCCATCTGTTTGTCCAGCCAGCCAGCCAGCCAGCATATTCCCAAGAACTGCCAGGCGTGCACGGGCATCCATGGCCAGAGCTTCTCAGCGCTGGGTCTGTGTGTTGGGTGGGTTCGGGGAAGCACTTAAGTACACATCTATTCACCCACCAGCTGCAACAGAACTTAAGTATTGCAGTATGCAGTTCAGTGGGGCCAGATGCTTTTCTGAATCAGTGCTTGAACACTCAGTTGCAAAATGCTCCACATTTTAAGCATCCGGGTAGCAAGATTCTGGTCTATTCACAGAATTTGCAGAAGCATCCACTCATTTTCCTGTTCTCTGATACCCAAGTATCTCACTTAACAAGAACTCTAGCACTGCTAATCAAAATATGGTACCCAGGTTAATACTGGGAACTAATCAGTTGAACATGACATGATTTTGATCTATTAAATTCTCTAATTAACAGCTGATTTCTTGATTTTATTATCCACCTAAACACACACAAAAAGAAAATATGTCATCATCCTACATCTTTATGATTCTCCTGTGAATGTAATTTTATACACAATTTTCTTCTGTAAGAGATAACCAAATCCAGTAAGACTCCTAATAAAAAATACTCACTTTCCTGAGACTACAAGGTTTGGCCTATATGTGACCAGAAACTAGACTTGAATGGTAAGTCTTTTTAACTACCTTGAAACCAGTAACAATTTATGAAGCTACAAAACCTGCCACTGAAATAACTTACAGGAAAATACCTAAATACCAACCACAACGTTGAAGCACAGTCCTGTAAGCAGAAAAATGTAATAATAATTACTACAAATAGTTCATGTTGAACCCTGACAAAATTAAAAGCAGTAGCAAGTGCTAAGCAAGTCGACCGCTTCAATATTTGGCTCAGTTACATGACATTTTGGCTGGATTTTCATTACAAGGACACCAGCTATAAGGATTAAATGTATATGCTCTATTACCAAAGAAACTTCCAAAAGTATTTTAACCATTGGATTCAGAGGAATATTCTGTGACAAGATCATTTTCCTCTCTTCTATAAGAAAACATATGCAGACAGTACTGAAAGACATTAAAGGGGTAATCAGAATTTACAGGCACTTAATTCTAAGCCCATGAATAACAAAAATATTAGACACATTTGCAGGCATATTCCATGAATAACTTTCAATCCACACACACACACACACAAATAAAAATAGATGAAACAACCTTATTTTATTATACTTCAAAAGTCTGAAACTTAAACTTTAACATAATCCCATCTAGAACCTGGTTTGGCAGGGGGGTTGGATCCAATGATCTTTCGAGGTTCCTTCCAACCCCTTCAACTCTGTGATTCTGTGATTCTGGACTACACCAGTTACAGTACTTCATGTATGCTGATAATTAAATATGAAACAGAAAAAAAAGGAATGGGAATGCTTAAAATATTTCTAAGAAAAGACTTACGCTCTGTAACAATATTCAACTTTCTGTTACTTGTACATAGTAACAATAATGATTCTAGAACACTTTTTAATTATTCTAGCAGAACTTTGGCAACCATTCAAGAAATGTAATATAAACTTGTTAATAGACTCACAGAGTCTTTTTAGTTACCAAAATATTGTTCACACAAGGAGCACTTATCAAATTGGGCCACTCATCAACTTACTATTGTATCTTTTAATAAGGATGAGATCTTTCTGTATATTTCATTTGCTGGAGTTTAATACTACAAAACTAAGCATCGTGGTTTCCGAGATAAATTGAATTGTTATTAAATTCTTCAGATGGGGTCTTCAGGAAACCTTACTTTATCTTGCCTTTAATCACTATCAAAATGATGAAGATTTAATTTCCAAACTGAGCTAATTAGTTCTACACTGGTTTGTTAATTTTTTTGAATAAGTACAAGAAAGTAAGCTAAAGAACTGCGGCCGCACTGGTGGCTGAAGAATGGCAGCATATTTTGCCTTCTAATTTCAAATCGTTATCTCACAGTAAGCATTCCCACTTCTGTGGGTATAAAAACCTGACTGTCCATCTCCTGAATCTCTCTCTAGAAGCAGATAAATCACTGTGGAGTTATTCCTATAGCACTTCTAACTGACCTGAAAATATTGGTAACCAAAGAGAATTTTGCCTTCACCTTCCATCCTGACAAAATGACTTCAAACCAGAAGTGTTTTCTTTTCTTTGGGTCTCCCCAGTCTAACCAATGAGGTGTTTGCCTGTTTCTCTGTAACGATCATGCAACTTGAAATGCACAGAGAATAAAACAAAGGAGAAATATAGCTTTACACTGCTCTTCCTCACAGTTTTAACTCACGGACAAACACCACACGTCCACATAGATACTTTCTTTGTGAGAGGGGGCAGTGAATAGTTTAAGAGAGAAACAAACATTTGTTTTCAAGGGGAAGGTTTGGAAGTATCTTGCAATTAAGTATTCCTCTGGTGTTTGGAAGAATAACAGAACTAAGTTTTCTCTGCAGTCTGCTGATTTTTAATGTTGGACTAAGGGAAGATTTCATTAACAACAGTAAAATACCATTAAACTCATTAAAATTCTCACAAATCCACTCAGTGCATAATGCCCACTGACTAGATAAGCGCTGATCGCATCTTCAACTACCTCTACCCATGTGCAGTTGTTGTGTGAGCTCATTACACATAAGACTGCAGAAGTTAAAAATCCCAAATGTGAGGTTATTTTTGAAGTATTTTATGTTTAACTGCTACACCAGCAACATGTGTAGATCATTTAGGCAAACCTATTTCTTTCAACAATCCCTCTTCTGCCCAGTGGGATTTGTGAATATATTTTTTTTCCAAGAGTAACATTTCATTTTGCCTAACAACAGCAGAAAAAAAAAAAAAAAAAAAGCTGTTTTTGAGAGAGAGGCAATTTTTTTCAGACTTGTGGTGTACGATACAACTTTTTATCTCATTTACAATGAGCAATTTTTTTCAAGCAACGCATGTCAAGAGAGGAAAATGTAGAGACGGGCACTTAAAATTATAGATACTCATCATTCCCAGGCATGACTGCTACTTTGGATAAATACTTTTTTGTCCTAAGCTTTTTGTGCCAGCCACGTAACGCTGAGGCATGAGGCATTGTTAGCAGGAACCAAGCATTCAAGTGCGGGACAGAGCAGCTACCTCTCCGCACTTGGAAATTCTGCCCGTAACTTCTGCATCACCTATTCTGAAGCCACTCCAGAATACCGAGTAGGGGAGTTTTCTGCAGGCAACACAGACCTATTAAAAAACATGACCTGTGACAAAAATCAATGTGCTAATCTGAAACCAAACAGCAGTATCGGAAGCATAAAAAAAAGAGATAACCTAAGATAAAATAGCCCCAAATGTACTTAGACAGACAGACAGACAGACAGAAAGAAAGAAAGAAAGAAAGAAAAGAAGGAAAAGAAAGAAAGAGAGAAAGAAAAGTCTGCTCACACGTACTTTAACAAGGAAAAAAAAAAAAAAAAAAAAAGTAATACCCGGGTGACTTTTCCCCCAAACACACGGATACCATTTGGAGCAGCGCTGAAATTTCCCGATTCTTAACATGAGGGGGAAACTCCAGGAAAATCACGGGAGCTTCCCTTCCCAGAGCTCGCTCGCTCTGCCGCCTTGCAGACGCGGCTGTCAAGAGCGGGGACGCCGTCCAGGCACTCCTGCCCCCGACGGCCCCGGCCCGGTACCTACCTCGCCTCCTCACGGCCAGCCCTGGACCCCCGACGGGCGGCAGCGGGGAGCCGCGATGCTCCGGACCGATAAGGGAGAGAGACCCCCGGCGGGGCACCAGCTTCCCCCTCACCTCACCCCTTCCTCCCCAAAATATCTGATTTTTTAAAAAGTTTTCCGCCCCATCCCGCAGACAGGGCATCTCCCGCAGGCTCCGGGCTGCAGCAGCCGCCGCCAGCGCTCACCACTCTCCCCGCCCGGCGCCCCCCGACCCCCGTGCGCGTCTTTTCCGAGTCCCCCCGCGGCCGCCCCGCGTACCTGGGGTTGGTGCTGTTCCAGTAGACGGCGTAGCGGTCGGCCACCGCCTTGGCGCCGGGCTCCTGCCCGCGCACGCACACCCACAGCGCCGCGGCCGCCAGCAGCAGCATCTCCACGTGCGGCATCGCGCCCGGCGGAAAAAAAAAATTAGGGGAAGGGGGGTGGAAGGCAGGGGAACGTGGGGAGGATGGTGAAAGAAAAAAAAAAAAAGGGGGAGGGTGGGAAGTGTAGTAATAAAAAATAAAACGAAGGGGGCAGAGATGGGGGAGGCTGGTGGGTGGGAGGGAGGAGGGAGAAGCGATGGGCTCCGCTCGGCAGCCGGCGGGGATGCGCGACCCGCGGGGACCCTCAGGCAGCCTCACCCCGGCAGGGGGAGGTGGGGGCCGAGGCGGGCGGCGGCGGCAGGCGGCGGGCGGTGCTCATTCACCGGGAGGCCGGGGCACGACATACACCGGGCCCCCGGCGCCGCGCCCCACCGCCCCCTGCGAGCGGCCCCGCGGCTCGGGGGCGGCCGCGGAGCGAGGGGACGGGGAGAGGGGGGCGCGGGGAGGGGAGAGCGGGCGGGGGGCGCCGGGCTCCGCTCGCTGGGGGAGCCCGCGAGGGGTCCCGGCGGCGGATTAAAGGCCGCCGGCTGGGAGAGGGGCGAGGGGCGCCGGAGGAGCTCGGAGCGGAAAGTTTGTGTCTTTCTTCCCGGCCCTCCGCGAATGAAAAAGCAACGAGGAAATTAAAAAAAAAATAATAATAAAATTAAAAAAATAAATTAATAAAATAAAATAAAATAAAAGGATTTGTGGTGGTGGTGGTGGTGGAGGGGCAGCAAGAGCCCTGAGGAGTTTGTTTGCTGCGCTGATGGAGTTGGGGAGCCTGTTCTGCAGCGCAGAGTGTCTTGAAGGAGACTTTGTGGAGTGGTTTTCTCGTCCTTCCTGTTCCTGGGCGGTGGATGCACCAAGGACTGAACAACAGCAAAGGCAAAAGGAAAAAAAAAAAAAAAAAAAAAAAAAAAAGGAAAAAAAAAAAAGGAGGGGAACAGAAAAAAAAAAAAAAAAAAAAAGAACGGCCAATCCAAGAAATATTGCGGCGTGGAAACCAAGGAGATGGAAATAAAAATTGTTTTATGGGAGGGCGTGGAGAAAAGCAAAACCTCGGAGAAGTGGAAAATCAAGCCTGCAAACTCCTCTGGTGATGCCGGTCCTGGTTGGCCTCCCCAGCCCGGGGGAGGGACGGAGCGGTGCGGCGAGGTGCGGAAATCTCCTGCTTCAGCCTCCCGGAGCGCCTCTGTGATAAAGCAGGGTCCAGTCCCGGGAGCATCAACTTCTGCGGAAGGACAAAACAGTTTGAACGAGCAGGGAGGGGGTGGGAGGAAAAGAATCCACCCCTCAGATGACTACATAAGGAGATCGGGAAAAAAAAAAAAAAAATTAAATAAAAAAAAACAACACAACACCACCCCGGTTTTTCTCGGTCCTGCCCGACAGCTGCTCCCCTTTTCCCTCTGAAGCAGCAGCAGGAGCAGCAAGGAAAGACGTACCACGCCAGCAGGCAAATAAATAAACTTGAATGCAGCGGCAGGCAGGGAGGGATCGTAAAGAGCGACGAGGATTGGAGGGGCAAAAGTCAGTTTTGCGAAAAAAAAAAAAAATGCTTTATGGGAGGAAAGGAGAGGGAAGAGAAAAAAAAAAAAAAAAAAAAAACCTTTAAACAGTCACGCCCCCTTCGTGCAATGACCGGTCCCTTCGCTGCGTGCCGATCCGGCACCAGCCGCCTGCGGGAGCGGGCACCCGGCGCTGCCGCTGCGAGACGGAGCCGGAGCCGGAGCCGGAGGCAGCCGCAGGGCGCGGGGGGCGCGGAGGTGCGCACGCAGGCAGCACACGCTCAGAGCACACACACACACACACACCCGCACCCGCACACGTACATACATGCACACGCGTGGGTCCGAGGCGGGATGTGGCGGCGGGCGCCGGGGATGAAGGCGAGGAAGAGGAGGAGGAGGAGGAGGAGGAGGAGGAGGAGGAGGCGCAGGCGGGCAGCTCGCGGCGCGATCATGTGGGGCTTCTGCATGCGGCGTGCCGGGGAAGGGGGGCACCCGCCGCCGCAGCCACTCACCGAGCAGCCTGCTGTTTGCTTACGGACCGATCTTTTTTTTTTTTTTTTTTTAATTTTTTTTTTTTTTTTTTTTTTTTACACCTCGACCCGATTGGCTTGCCGCACGGGAGAGAGAGGAGAAGGAGGAGGAGCGGGAGAGCAGGAGGAGGAGGAGGAGGAAGGGGGGGGGGGGGGGGGGGGAGAGGAGGCGTCGCAGGCTTCTCCTCCCTCCTCCGTGCCAAAAAATAAAAAAAAAATAAAAAAAATAAAATAAATAAATAAATAAAAGAAACCCAAGCCGCCCGGCCCCACCCTCCCGAAACCTGACTAATTGAATTACGGGCACGCCGGGGCGGCTCCTGCGCAATCCCGGGTAACCATTTCGGCGCCGAAGCACCCCCAAAACCCCCAGACCCCGTCCCCAAACTCCGCGCCCCCCCCCCGCCTCCTTCCCTTCCCCCCCCCTTTCCGCGCCCGCGGGGGCTCCGCAGGTGAGCGGCTCCCGGGGGCGGGGCCTCGCCAGGGGGCGGGGCCTCGCGGCGCGGAGGGGGCGTGGTCTCCTGGCGGGGGGCGTGGCCTCCGGCGTTGCCGCGGTGACGGCGGCGTAGCGCGGCGCCGTTCGGAAGCGCCCTGACGCCCCCCAGCGGCGGGCGGCGGCGCCTCACGGCGGGGCGGGGGGCCGGCTGCGCGTCCTCCCCTCCCCTCCCCTCCCCTCCCCTCCTCTCCCTCCCGCCTCTTTTTTTTTTTTTGGTTTTCCTTCATCTGTTTTTAACTTTTTTTTTTTTTTTTTTTTTCTTCGCTCCCCCCTCAAGAAGTAGCCGGGGCGAAAGAGCACACGGTAAAGTTGGGAGGAAATACTGGGGTCCCTCGTTGCACATTTATGTATTTAGCTTTATTCCTTCGGCCGAGGGTACCAGCAGTTTTCACATCTCTGTTACCAAAGGCCTAACGATTTGTGTAGGTTTTGCCTCGCTCTGGTTTCCTCCAGCTTCGTTTTCAACACAAGTCCTCGTATAAACATACATATATATATAAAGTATATCCACAAGTACGTGTACCAGCTGAGTGACCTGGGTTCAGCAGACAGAAACCCACCAACTTCTTGCTCACTTTTCCATTAAAACCCAAACCAGCCCTTCTACATGTCTGTGAGCTGAGCTCTCCAAACAGCGACGAGCAAACACAGTATTTCCTTGGCCTTATTTCTCTGGTACAGGCAGACATGCAGAAATCACTTCCATTGCAGGAAAAAAAAAAAAAAAAAACACAAACTTTTTTCAGAAAAATATATTCTCAGCTACATTCGTTAAAGGTTAATGATTTTCTTCTCTTTGTCTGTGGCTTGTGAGAAATGTCACAGTGAAGGAGTGAGGGATTGGTTTGTTTGACTTAAAGCTCCTTTTAATAGCAGAGCCGGAGCTTATTCCAGTATACAAAATACCCTCCAGGACTGTACTACTTGGGTTTTTGTTTAACACCTACAAAGGTGTGAAAACCTATCAATAACTTGAAAAAAAAAAAAAGACTTTAGCAGGAAGATATCTCTTTTTTCCTGCTTTACTTAGCAAGCAAGCTGTAGGTGGCTGTATCTTGTTAGTTTAGGGACAATACAAACACGTAAATCCTTTGGATCAGAATAAGAAATAAATTAATTCTGCATACAGAAAGATAATACTTTAATGAACAGAAAGTGACCTTTTTGTTACATCATAACCGATTCATAGGGACACATCAAACACCCAGAGCTCAAAAGCATGCCAACTTCTAGTCCACTCTTCATTTTTGAGATTACATGATCAAACGATTACTGATATCTCCATAGTTATGAACTGCCTATGTATGCCAATAGACTCCGCCTTAGCCTTCATTTCATAGAAACATAAAGACTGTTGACAAGTGATTTGACATCGAACTATTTTGAATGCAGTATTTAGAAAAACTAGTGCATACACACAGAGTCTGCAGCTGCCTCTGACAAGCTTCTGTAGTTGCTTCCAGATCTCTAGCTTTACAGTGTTAATCAGTATTTAACATACACTTTACAGCATGTACTTTCTTGATAGTTGCTTAGGCTTTCAGTGTATTGGATATACAGTGCAGCAGCCACTACGCTGATTGATCACGTACCTCAAAATAATTAAACCAAGCACAGCTTAAGGCATTGTCTCAAGGAGAAGCGATAAATCTGTAGATTTTCTTTCTCTACTGATTTCCTTGAAAAAAAAGAAAAAAAAAAAAAAGGAGAAAAAAAAAAAAAAAAAAAGGAGAAAAAAAAAAAAGGAAAAGGAAAGAAAAAAAAAACACACACAACATAGTATTTCTATCATTATTCAGCAATACTTTCTGTCTTAAACAGATACAAATGACTCCGGAGGCGAAGCTCATCTTCATTACTCATGTAAGTAGTATTGTTAAAGTAATTTGTTTTGCTTATTGCACAAGAGCCATTCAGAGATACTTCAGCACCTGTGAAACAGAAAATAGTGTAGATATATCTACATTTCCCCCATAGATTTATTTTTTATAAATTTAAGTAGAGCTTCAGAAGTAAAAGTAATAGAGCCCAGTCCTACTTTCTCTGAATTTCATTCCACTGACTTTAAGGTAAACAAGTAAATCCTACATTGTTTGCTTATGTTAAAAAAAATAGACAAAAAGGAAAAAAACTTTTTGAAGAAATGGATGCATACTACAAATCAACAAAGAGTGTAGTTTCATTTCAAATTTTTGTCTATATTTTGTACAGATGTAATTTTAAATTGTGTATTTCTGTTTCAGTATAATTTGATAAAAGTTTGCGGAACACAAAATATATAGCTCTATGGTTTGTCTGTATTTAATGATCATCTTGATGTTTTGTATTAAAAGGACTAAACAAAACTATATATTTTTTGTTGTTACTGTTTATCTGTGATATGTGTTTTTCAGGAACTGAAAACATCAGGCTTCCTTATATTTTTAATTGCCTTCTGATCCCATAAATCATTCCCTGAAGCAATCTCAGCTTCAAGTTTTACAAATTAATAACTGAAGAGAATGGTTAATCGTTATAAATTCTCTCATCTTTTACTGTAATTCCTGATACTGTAAGCTGTCAAAAAGTAATATAGAACAAAATCTCAGACTAATTTCCATATGAGAGGACTAGGTTTCAAAGGCATAAATGATACTGTTAAAGAGAATCACTAATTCTTTGCAGAGAACTGTATTAATCATATGATTGCTGTGGACAAATATACTTAAGTCAGATATGAGGTTTTTGGTTATGTGATCTCTCTGACTTAAAAGTATTTGTTCCTTCTCAGATTTATTTACCTATAACAGACAGTGTGTGTATTGTGTACAGTTTATTATTATTATTTATTTATTTATTTATTTATTTATTTATTTATTTATTTATTTATTTATTCATCCATTTTTTGAGAGGAATAAATCATCTAGTGGAAGAGAACAGAATGAAATGACTGCAGATAAACCTGACTCAGTATTTACTTGTGTGTGTCAGTATTTTCTTCTGTGATTAAATGAAGATTCCTGATTTTCTTAAATTGTCTAGCAACACACTCACTTCATTAATATGCTTTTTCCATTCTATCAACCAGAGATAACATACATGTTGCTTTACTGTGATGTAGTGACGGTTTATGACTTAATGTTTTCGGATGGGGTAACATGATGTTTTTCAGAGGGGTAACATGAAGATCTTTGTCTATTAAAAACAAACAAACAAAAACCAACCACCTAACACAAAATACAACAATAAATTATAGGCAACTTTGGGGGGGGATATGGTCCAGAGGCATTTTCAAGCTTGTTATCTCATCCAGAAACCATATGTATTTCTTTTAGCAGATGGTTCTTAAAAAATTATTATTGCTTTTAAAGAAACTATCCACAGTTACCAGCCTTCCTTCCATTCTAAGTTGTCAGTTAAAATCTGCATGTCTGCCCAAACAGTCTTTTTTTGTGAGCTACAGCTCACAAATTAGGAAGGACCTATTCAGCATACATCAATTTGAATGTTAATCTGAACACTTTAAAAGTTCAATATACTGAGGGAAACTTTGGGAAAAAAGCAGAATGTTTCCTGGTGTCATATTGGCATTTTATGATTTTTTTTTTTTTAAGTATGGAATAAGAAGAATTTTGAGGGAAGACATTTTCAAAAATATGAATGGAAGCAGGGACGCTAGAAAAATAGAGATGATAGAAAAATCTACTTTGAAGTTCAAATCTAATGTTCCCTCCGTATACATAGCTAATAACTTAGTTACAATGTGTTACCATTCAAGTTTGTGTTTGTCTGTACAAATCCTTTTTTCATGTTTGCTGCATATATAATTGCAAGGAACTTGGTTGCTGACATACTTTTAAGAACTCTAAATTCATGTCTATATGAAGTTAAAATATTTTGAACACTGTCATTTTAAAAGTCCACATGATGGCATTTGTTTCTTATCAGTTGAGATCTTCTGTACATTTTTGGGCTTTACAAAAAATTACAGCCCATTACAGTGATTCATCATTAGTCTCAAGTCAATAACAATAACTGAAATATCCCAGCGATAATGCCAAAGCAAGATAATCCATGGGTCTAGAAAAAAATGCATAGCTTCCCTTTTTGCCATTCACTCAAGCTCTTCCACACTCTCCAAATTAAAGATAATAACCAAGAGATCTTTTAAAAAGACTTTTGGAAGTTATTGCACAATCACAAATTATTACATAGCCAGTACCTTACAAAAACTTCAATTGTGGTATTACCGCCGTAGAATCAAGTACTTAAACCAACGTGCAAGAAAGACTGTGTAGATTATGTAAAGCTAAAGTATGAGACAAGAAAAGCAAACGGACTCAGCAGACGGTATGAATATAGTTATCCCCGAGATTCCTGTCCACTCCTGCAAAAAGCTGTATATTGAACACTATAGTCATTATGCAGATTGTGTTACAAGAGCAGGCTCTCATTTCAGCATCTGTGCATCTCCTGT